GCCCTTCCATCTTGAAACAACCTATAATGGTGACGATATTAGCTGCACTCTTGATAATTGTGCAGTGACGAATAACCGTGGACGTTTGTGAAAAGCGAAATGCTCTCACCAGGTAAGCTCAAGGCCCAACGACGAAGACAAACCCCGCGCTAAACAATTTCGCAGGATTCCTTCCTTGCCTATGGAGTCCGGTCCGCAATCTGAAGGGTTGCTCCAACTTTCGCGACTCCGCATGTCGAGAGCACTGCGACCATTGTAAGTCGAAGATATGTTACTTGTGAAGTTGCTTACCATCACAACCCAGTTTTTGACAAATTATAGGCGGCTCATCGCCCGCGGAGTACCTTCCTCTTGGATAGACCTTCATCTTGGATGGACCCCCTCCTGATTTGCCACATGTTTCTTGCACATTTTGATGCTTTGATAGTCATTGCATACTTTCTATCTGCGTTACATTCTATCGCAACAGGACCGTGCACTGAAATTCTAAAAATCACGTGAACCAGTGAAAACATTTCATTTCACAATGTGAGATGCTCTTTTCACTCCACCAATTCACCAACGACACAAGTCCATGGGTGCAACAATATGATGGTGCAACACCACCGTAATCCTAGTTTTGCTCACGGGGTTTTCTCGGACAGCACATGTTTTGTGACAAGCTTTGTTTCCGGCTTTTTTTTGTTTATTCCTGGAGTCGGATGTCACGCAGTAGTGGGTGGAGCTAAGCCAGCGCTCAGACTTCGCGACGGCAGCGCTCGGTCGCGCATTCGACGCGATCGTGCAGTCGAAAGCATGCGCATCGATCGCGTCGAACGCGCGACCGAAGCGCTGCCGTCGCGAAGTCTGAACGCCGCCTAAGGAGCCGTATTCGAACACGCAAACGCGCAGAGGCTGCACCGAATCCATCTGCTAGAGGATCCGTGAAACTGCGATGCAATGAGATTTCCAAGGAGGCAATTAAATTGGGGCGTTCAGGAATTTCTTCCTCATTCTTTTTCACTGGAGGGTCACTTAGTGACTACAGGCTCACAACTCAGCACCATTGCCCTTTGTATGCAATAGCGGCTCTGTCTCTAATCACGGATATTATTGCCGTTAAGGGTCGAAACGTCGTAACACAAAATGGAATCGACCTTTTCCTGATAATCGTCAATCGATCGAAACCCTCGTACCAAACATGGAAGTTCCCCATTTTGGTGAATCAACGGTGATGTGGAACTCGTTCGTTCCCACATCTTTGAACGGAGAGACTTCCGCGTGATTCATGGAGCAGCTAGGAAATGAGCTACCAACGGCCACTTCTCATATGGTCTCCACTCGACGAAAAACCTAAGGCTATGATGATGTCACCTGAAGCCAAACACCTGAATTGATCCGTTAGGCTACACAGAAGTATCGCCGTCGTAAAACAGCCACTGATAAGAAATGATGTCCTAGAACGCTATTGACACCATGCCTGGCCATAAAGTGCGTGCGAGGGACACTGCAGACAGCTGTGATGTTCAAAGTCCGTTGGAAATGTGTAGCATAAATCGGTTGCACAGGGTTTGTGCTCTCCAAATAGTTTCTTGCTCTTTTTTATAACCCTGCTTTTGTTCACGCCTCGTCCAACCCGGCCGTTCCAAAATGCAAGCAAACCCCCTGGAGGAGCATTACACACCTGACTTAAGGACAAACTGCAATTTCGTACATGGAAGAAACGTCCAAAAGGGTCCCTTCTATGTGCGGAGTGAATGAGCCCGTCAATGGGTTTGCAGTAGCGTGCCGTTTTTGTGCCACCGCCAAAAGTGCACGGAAACAGGGCTGGAGGGTAGAAATAACTAAGTGCTGCCGTGCGAAGCGTGCCCGAGTATGAACGACGCCCAGATCACGATTCCCCGAGCATATTTTCATACCCACTCTCATATGCATTTGTGGAAGAAAGCATCTGTTGGAACCTCTCACCCTCCCCCTCCCCTACCCATTACCCTAAGGAATCTTTGGCTGTCAGCGTGTTTGGCATAAACCACAAGTAAATGAAGAAAGTCGGCACAAAAAGAGAAGGCGTAGTCTTCTAAGGAATGCTTGACAGCGAAGCATTATCGATAAGATTCAATGAGAGCAAAGTTTCGAGGATTTCAGGAACAAGGACGTCGACCTTCGCTAGAGAACTCAGAAGGCACTCCACTTTGAACCCGTGTGCAAGCCAGGCTTATCGCTATGCTGTCATCACTCATTCAGTCCTCCGCCGCAAGTGGGGGAGGTGGAAAGAGCACTAGTGAGAAAGGTGTAGCGGTAAACTTGACCAGCCCACATAATGAGCGTGAACTGTGCCGCGAAAGTGAAATGATGGAAAGGCTGGTTCACACTGAGCGAAAACTTCAGCTTGAACATACTTGACGTTGTATTCCAGCAAAACGTTTTGGCCTGTAGCTCACGTCCGAAAGCTTGAGAAAAAATATTGTGGTATGAGTTTTCTCCATGAAGTGATCGAGTTTGACCAAAAGCGCACCGAGCAAGAACATCACTTGTGTGATTCTGGAACAGCCTGAAAAAACAGAGTTGTCACATAAGTTGCTAGTTCTGCCTAGTTGTCTGCTTGTTTTTCTGCCCGGGACTTCATTTTTATTCGAAATTCATTCGGTAGGTTCAGGTATGTAGGTTCAGGGCTGAGGGGGTTGGGCATGAGAGAAGGTGTACAGAGCGCACCTGAACTAGCTACTAACTTAAGCCTTACCCACGGTGGGCGGCGCACGCATGAAGCATCAAGTGGGGGGAGGGGTACTAGAGAGAAATCGTAGTTCGGTCGCAGAACAGAAAGGATCTTATAGAGGTCCGGAACGGATAATGAAGCATAATGGGAGAGACACAGCGATGGTTGGTGCTTGCAACAAAAATTTGTAACTCTGTCCGGAAGAAGTTCGGAGACTGGAGAAAGATTGGTAAAGAAGCTGAACTTCTGAAGAGAGTTGCATTTGATACCCGCCCATTGTATGTAACTTGCCCTCAATCCCCCACACCCTTAATCCAAAATTGCGTAAGTCGCTTAAGGAACATTGCAAAGAGAGGGCAGGAAGTAGATGAGGGGCAGCAAGAGATTCAAGTCAGGGCCCTTTTTCGGATGGTCGCAGGATGTGCTAGCTCCTAAGAATCGTAAACCAAGCTTTCTTAACAACCTTGTGTCCAGTTTAAAATAAGTGCACCACGATCGACGCAATGCCGACCTTAATGGAAATCCGTTCATCGAGATTCTTGCGAAATGAGCGCAGTCACCTTTGTGTCTCTCGGAAACCTGGCCCAAGAAAAACTAGTAATCGCGGTTCTTTGCTGATAAGACTGCCATCAGGTGATTGTAAATGCAGCAAAAATGGAACGAAATCATGAGAACGAGTTTCTTTCATTTCGTAAGGGGAACTGGGTCTTGCTGCTTTTCTTCCTGCTTGCGCCCCTCCTCTCTTCCCTCATAGCGATGAGGAGCGCAGCAGTGAGGAAGACACAATAGCCTACGTCTGACCTAACTTCGAGCGTGGGAGACGCCTATAACTCACTCAGGTAATCACTACTCACGCTTTGCCAGAGCACAAAGATTTGCAACTGGGATAAAAAAGGATAAAGGATAAAGTCTTCGCCGTTGATCAATCCCTTTGTGGGATGCGGCACGCATTCTACTTCCATTCAGAATCGTAGTGGCTTATTGAATGCGATGTGGCCTATACAATGACTTGCGGTGGCCAGCCGATGTACAAGTCAGTGTTTTATCCTCCCAGACGAATCTGGTACCAATTTACCGTCCCCGGAGGGTAGAGGTGGGCTTGGGCCGGAGTCGACCCGCGCGCCACTTGTCACTACACCACCTCCGCCTCTGCAACTGGGATACACAGCATAGCATTGCCATAAATAGGTAATGGACTTTTTGAACAGCAATATTCTTGTGGCGTCGCCACCACGTCGCCACATGTTCCCATTCTTTGCCCAAATCAAGTGTCGAGCGGAGGGGGGGAGGGTAGGGGGTAAGGCAAGGTCTCTGTCCAGTAGCTGTGCGGTCATCTAGGAGGCCATTGTAACAACTCGAGCGAATCTATACACAACAAATGAATTGTGCAAAGAGAAGAAATGGCCGTGGAAGGACATATCTAACCACTTCCTATTCCCTATCACTATGTTTCGCATTCAGCGTTGAATTCATGGATATAAAAGTGCACCTACTTGTGAGCGTCGATTCCTTGTTCGAAAGGGAGTTTCTCCAGATAGTTCAAGAAGCTAACAACTGACTCCTCCACTATGGGGAAAAGCTGAAAATATTTGTTGTAATCACTCTGACGGCGCATGTCATGACTAGCTTTTTATGATCGCTGTTGTTTTTCAATGGTTTGACCTTTGGCCTGCGGTGCATGGAGTGCGGCTATATTACACATGCATGTGTACTGTTACTCATCGAAAAAGTACAGTATTGCGTCCGTAGCCCCGTTCTCTTGCAAATTTCGCTTCACAGTCACAGGTTTATGATGCTCAGCCTAAAACTCGTTGAAACTTACTGGTAATTCGGGTAACCCATAATCCGCTCTGCGCCCGCCTGGCCGTCTTTCGGAGACTCAGCATTACCTGAGAACAGTCTGAGGTGCGTGGACGTAAGCGAGGATGCACAGACAGAGCACGTCCTTGAGAAACAGGACACATCGTTGTTAGAGAATCCCCAACAGAGGGAAGGGGTCCTCGCCGCCAGAGATAGGGGTCGTATTTGAGCCGAGAAAAATTTATTTGGATATTTGATTTTTCTTGCTTCACGGACGTTGCAAGAGGGGTTGGGTCGTAGTTGCCGATTGTTGGGAGAGGGGGGGGGGGGAGTCGTATTTACTTTCTGGCCTTTCTAGGAGTGGTGGTTGACTTTTCGTGATTTTCCTGTTTCATGCTATACATATACCCCCCCCCCTCGAGAAGCAAATATTTGGATAAAAGTGGGAACTTTTGGGAAATTTTTTGGAAAATGGGAGGAACATGGGGAATTGGGGGGAAAATCTAACAAATGGTAGAAGAGAGGGTCCTATTGTCTCGCGGCTTTTCCTGTGTCGCATGTGCTTACCCCCCTTCTCCCCCCCCTTCCGCTTGATGACTCAATTCGATGGAGGAGGCACAGGAGGGCAGATCGGGGGAGAGGTCGTACCAATCGCCTCAAAAAAAAGTGGTAGGGTTGCACGGACTTCACTAAAATCCCCAACCAATGATGTGCCCCGTTGAGGAAACCTAAATTTTCCTAGCTTCCTTTTTTCGAAAATTTCCCACTTTTTCTCGAGAGAGGGCGAGTATTATATGTATAGAGCAATTGAAACAGGAAAAACGGAGAAACTCTAACGGTAACATTTTTCTCTAAGGCGAACGCGACTTTCCTTCCCTCCACCCAGCATCGCGACAAAGTACGACCCTCTCGCTGAGGATCCCAACGTACGACGTTCCCACTGCACAAAGCGCTCATCAGCGAAGTTAGACCGCAAACACTGTAGGCAGGGCGTGCAACGTGGTGGGCATTATCAAGTACCATCAAAATATGCAAAAAAAATGTAATGGAAAGGAAAGTTCTAGAAAACGTTGAATCGTGGGGCAACAGTATCAAAACTATTTTTTGAAATGATATGAAGAGAATTTTTACTAATTCCCATGAAAGACTAACTTGTTTCATGTTCTTATTGGACATCGCTTCGCTGGTAATAGTGCGCATTCGCTTCCACCGTTCACCTCTAGAAGCAAACATATGCACATGCTCATCTGACACTGGGTCCGGATCAAGTGGGTTTGGCTAAATATCGTAGTAGTACTACATATGCTATTTCATCTCTACATAAGTAAGACTAATATTAACTGACAATGACTATTCAAGAGCTCGTAAGGCTTACGATTTTTGCATGGAAGCTGTGAAAATGCTTCAAAGAAATCCCATGAATCACGTCGACATCACTGGTTACGACTGTTGGAAATCCGCCTTGCATAGCGCCAAATACGGGACCATATTTTCGTGCAATTTCACCGAATGTGAAATGTGCGGATGGAGAAATGAATACGTCGATATTTTCGCTTATCCAGTGACGCGATGGTAGAACGGGAAAACCACAGTTCAGCAATAGAGAGTGTCCAGAGCGCCGTCTGAAACTTACAAATCAGGTGATCAAAGGGGTACTGGTAGGGGTCGCAGACTGTTTGGAAAAAACTACTAAGTAAATTACTTGTATTCTTGGTAATACATTAGATTCGTGGAAAAGGTACTAAAGTAACAAATCTTCCGAGTTCCTCTTAAAAAAGGTGTTTTGAGTCATCGATGACAAGCTGCTAGCTAATTGCTATTGAGATATCCCCCTCTTTCACGTTATTTTACCAAAATAATCAGTCTCCATTTTGTATGAAAGTTTTCTGTTTCAGGAGAATGGACAGGGAACTTCTCTGACCAGCTGTTTGCAGACCCTCTCAAAAAAAGCATGTGATTCACAACCTGTACATCTCACAGATTGCTT